TTGTGTTCAGCTGTTCCTCTGTGTCTGCTCTGCTGGTTTGTGTTCAGCTGTTCCTCTGTGTCTGCTCTACTGGCTTGTGTTCAGCTGTTCCTCTGTGTCTGCCCTGCTGGTTTGTGTTCAGCTGTTCCTCTGTGTCTGCCCTGCTGGTTTGTGTTCAGCTGTTCCTCTGTGTCTGCCCTGCTGGTTTGTGTTCGGTCATCGTGAATGGATACTGTAGTGTGATCGGATCGACTGTGAGTGAGTGCTGTTCCTGAACTGTGAAACAGTTGTGTAGGAAGAGGGAGTAGCGGCACTCACCTGTGTGTCGGTGTTGGCAGGGGCGAGGTGGTGGCGAAGGCTGGCGCGGATGAGACCATCGTGTACGCTGATATCGGTGAGTCCCCATTACGGCCTGACCGAACCCCCCAAACCTTTGCTCCACTGCCGTACAGTTGACGCATAAAAACCCAATTCAGAGCCAAGCTACAGTTTCAGGGAGGAGCAGGAGAAGAGTCTGTGTGTCCGAGGTGTCTGATAGGAAGCAGACTGGTTCTGTTGAGTCCCAGTGGGAACACTTGGGCACCCAATAGGAATGGGACCCCTACAGAGAAGGTGCTCGATAGCAGACTACCTCCCAGATTTTTATTAAACATTCTTGCAACTCAAGAACCAAAATAATTGTATAGATAAAGGTCATTATTGGATGACCATTAGGGTTCTTATACATTAAGTAACTTTAATTTGTTGTAATCCTGCCATAGAATAATAATAATAATTCCTTATACTTATAAAGCGCTTTTCTGGAAACTCCACTCAAAGCGCTTAACAGGTAATGGGGACTCCCCTCCACCTGGATGATGCGACGGCAGCCATAGTGCGCCAGAACACTCACCACACACCAGCTATCAGTGGGGAGGAGAGTAGAGTAATGAAGCCAGTTCATAGATGGGGATTATTAGGAGGTCATGATTGGTCTCTGGGGTTATACCCCTACTCTTCAAGAAACACCCTGGGATTTTTAATGACTGCAGAGAGTCAGAAACCTTCGTTTTATGTCTCATCCGAAGGGCGGCACTTTTTTACAGTATAGTGTCCCCGTCAATATACTGTGCATTAGGACCCACACAAATTGCAAGGTGAGCACCCCCTATTTGCCCCACTAACACCTCTTCCAGCAGAAACCTTAGTTTTTCCCAGGAGGTCTCCCATCCAGGTACTGACCAGGCTCACACCTGCTGAGCTTCAGTGGGTTGCCAGTTGTGAGTTGCAGAGTGATATGGCTGCTGGCCATATCAACTGGCCAAAATCAACTGTTTGGTAAATTGTCAAGAAGAATAAACACACTGGTGAGCTTAGCAGTAGCAAACGACTTGGTAGACCACAGAAGACCACAGTAGTGGATGACTGAAGAAGACTTCCATTATTATTTCTAAGTATTTTACCTGGTGTGAAATATTTGGGCTCTGAGAACAGAAACTCACATGGCACTTCCTAAAGTGAGCACTTACAGTACCTGCCTTGCAGAAGTGACAGGCATGCATGCAAATTGTCTGATGAAAAACCTACAGGCAAGGTGCGCATTACGGGGGAGCCAGGGGGAGGTTAGCTCCTCTGAATAAGGCACATGCTCCCCTGAAGAGAGCATTTGCAAACTTTTAGGGGGTCTCTAAAATATGGAACCTGTCAATTTATAAAAATTTCCTATTTATATGTGTCACTTTTTTTCCGGTATAGACTACATGTATGTTTCTGTTTTGAGCATGTTGTTGCCATAGAAATAGCTAAGCAACTTAATACTGTTACTGATCAAGGCCATGGTGGTGCTGTTACAAAAGTAGGCAACGTTTCTTCTTTAGATTTTCACCTAACAAGCAGACAAGCTAACAAGTCACTCTTGGTTAAGTTTTCTCAACAAAAAAAAAGTGCACAGTGAATTTGCAGAGAAAATTTTCATTGACATTCAGTTTTCTATATATGTTACTGAAACGTGACAATCATGCCCAAGAGAAAACGGGGAACATTACTTGCTAATTTTGGGTTCACAAAACAACCAAAACTGGGTGCTCTGACTGTTGCTGCTAGGAGTTGCTCGTCAGACAACTTCACAGGCAACGTGACGGACCCCAAAGACAACTGAGCCCAGACCTCTGTGGTCACTCCTATTTTAAGGTCAGAGTAACTCCTGTTAAATTGTAACTATATATAATAGCGTGCTCATTTTGTATGAGCTAGTTGACTGGCCCTTCATGTGTAATGTGTCCCCCGCGCCTCCAGGGGTGAGCTCCCCCTAATGTCAAGATATAATTCGCACCTTGCCTACAAATACTACCTTCTCTTACTGGCAGAGGGCATTATTTTCACTTTGACATGTCTGTTGTTCAACCTATACACAGTATCTAAACCGCCCCCTGTATTATATTCCAAACTTGACTTCAGGGTTTAGTGTTTGGATGTTTTATTTTTTATTTAGATATTATTTAACCAGATTACCCCCATTTACCCCCAGTCCCATTTACAATAGCAAGCTGGCCAATATGCTTACATGCACATTAATGTTGCACAGAAAACAAGGCAGTAAAAGAAATAAAAGTATGATTAATAATATGTACATAACAGAACTGAACATGGTTATATTACCAATCGCAAACACTAGGTCAGAAATGATTTAATGAAACAAATGAAGATGCCTTCAGACAGAAAGGTACTGTAGATACTATAGTTTTAGATCACGTGGCTAATTATTCCTGTGTCTAAATATAATAAATGTGATCTTCGAAGGTACAATCTGATAAAAGTAACGTGCCTTAAAATGTAAGATGGTAGAGGCAACTGCAGGGAATGCTGGAAATATCTGAATTAATTTAAACCAGCAAAGGTTCTGTCTAGTACACAAGGAGAGCCAATAAAAGAAAAAAGAGTAAAGGTCCTAATGTCGAGAGGGACAACATTGATCCAGTTGTGATCAATCAGGGGATCAATCATATGGCATTGTGGTTCAAGGTTGAACAGGTCTACGGGCCATTCTGTACAAGATGAGTATAGACATCTTCAGTTGTGCACACCTGGGGCAATACGGAAAACAAGATACTGCATGTTGCAGAAACCACCTTGGCTTGTGGCTTATTCGTGAAAAAGCTATCCAGCCAGAGGCCTAGATATCTATAAGGTATGACTTACTCCAACTTTGGTAAAAAAAAAAGTAAATTGTGACAACAGGGACACAAATAAGGTTCCCCTTAGCATAGCGACCTGGTCATTTTAGACTTTATGCATGCTGCGCTCTTAAGAAAATTGTATTGAAGAAAGGGTAAAAGCAAATAAAAGCTTAATCTTGTTTCCGTGCTGCAGATTAGTGGAAAAGTCTGCCAAACAAATCAGAATTAGCCAGCACTGGGTATTGGTCCATACACGGCAATCGGCAGCTTGTAAAACCCTGAGCGGCTCACACCGCTGTGAAATGGGAGCCTTGCAATAGCTGTGACACGGTGCGTCCTGTGTTCCAGACCTGCAGTATCTTGCAGAGGTGAGGCAGCAGATCCCCATCCATGCACAGAGGCGCCACGACTTGTACAAGGTGAGCGCCCTGCAGGATGGTTAGGGGACCCCAGCGCTCCCCGAAAACGTGCACCCCTCATCAGAGACCAGTGACTTCCTGCTGCCCGGCACCGATCCCACTGCAGAATCTCGGCACCCGCCATGACTGCACTGGACTGACGTCTGTGATGCCGGGCTGGGCTGGGGGTCGGTTCTGCTGAGGGCTTTGGAAGAGGCCGACTGCTGGCGTATTCCAAGCGAAGGATTGTAAATGTGAGGAATCTCTGGACATCACTTTGGATATGTTTTTTGTCTGCTTCTTTGCTAATCAAAGATTTATAAAGATGCTCAAGCGTTGATCAGCCTTTGGCTCATCAATGACTGTTGCATGTGCAGAAGCAATGCGGACAGCCCTTGTCAGGAAAACTCAATCGTGATACCTAAACTTTTCTTATACCATGATTTGGCCTAGATCTTCACCAGGCTTAAGAAAGTTCTGTTTTTCTGTAGTTATGGAGGAGCACTTAAAAAAAATCTCAAAACTTTTAGCAAGTTTCTCTATGAAAGTATCTGCAAAACCTCTTTTTGTTAATGATTGATTTGCAACTGAGGCTACAAATGGAATAAAAAAAAGTATTTTATGGTTAATACAATGGTATGGTATGAGTGATAAGCTTCTTAATTACTTTTCTGACACATTTGTTCAATGGGGTTACATTTCTGACTGATTGCATTTCTCCAGTGAGAAGAACTTAGTTTTTATTAAGGAAAGAGCTGGTTTAGCCTGATCCCCTTCAGTGTGGATCACCTCTGATTCAGATCACTGTGTGATGGGCTCTTGTATGACAAGTGAAACTGTAGTGGAATTCAGTGACAGGTAGGTTGAACTTCTGCCTTAGTTCACATTTTCCAACCAGCGCAGATATCTTCTACCCAGACAAGGGCTCCCTCGTGATTCACAGTGATGAAACTTCGGCAGGTGCTTTAAGTGCACTCACTGTAGGGGAAAAAGCAAGTCTGCATTTTCTTGATGGATATATACACTGTAAATGTCCTGACATTTGCAATGCAAGTCACAATCACATCCAGTCAAGATGCAAAAGGTGAAGATGGCAGTGAAATAAAACTGCCATAAACCCACAGAACACAGTCAGCACAGTATTAATCAAGTGCCAGGATGTTGCAGATCACTGAGATGGTTCAGTGCTGCTTGACAGACAGGAAGTGGTGACATAAGAGCCGAGTCAGTAAGTGATGGTCAGTCACAGGTCTCTGGGGTCAGGTACTGTATCTGAAAAGAGCAGGTTTCAGTTTCTTTCAGAAGATGGGGAGTGAGCCTGCAGTTCTGACTGTGGCAGGTAGATTATTTCACCTCTAGGGGGCAGCACGGACCCAGGACTCAGAGCTCGTCAGTGATGACACCGGTAGTCGGGGTGATGAAGCAGATCCTTCAGGTTGGGAGGTATGCAGGCTTAGTCCCTTTGGAAGCCATTCAAGCCCAAACCAAGGTAGAGAATCTGATGTGGGCCAGACGCTGATGTAGAGAGACAAGGAGGAGGAACATGAGAGTGTTTGAGGAGATTAAAGACAAGGTGGGCTGCAGTGTTCTGTGTGAGCAGGAGCAGTCTGAAGGTAAGACACTATTAGGAGTCAGCTTCAGCCTCCCTAGTGTTTTCTACAGATACGACAACTTTGGCTGTTACACATGCAGCTTAGTTTTGTTGAGAAGAAACCAATCTGGTCATCTAGCAATTGTAATTAACCCCAAACGGAATCTTCTTCTACTCTGTTTGCAACAGCTCAGGATAAAACTGTCCCACCAGTTGCTGACACGAAGTATTGTAGTAGTAATTCATCACATTCACCCGTCAAATCTCAGCCAGGTGCTCTTTGTCAGTTACACCATTACTTTCTACCTATGCATTCAGAAACCTCTCTCAATTGGCCCTTTGTGACCTTAAGGCACGATGCAAAAAAACAAGCTATGCACATCTATTGGTTTTAGATTTGCTGTTTTTACAAGATCTGTAAATCCACAAATCCATTAATTAAACACTGCTGAAACACTAATATGCCCGTGCTAAACTGGATGGCACAAACACCGATATTCTGGTGGTGGTGGCAGGGATCAGTAGCATCTCTAAAGTACCTATTTGAAATAAATAATTGATTATTATTGATGGCAGCCTGAGACTCGAGCTGACTCAGTATTGCTCCTGTAGGGATAAAGCATGGACACAGAGGGAGTCTGCAAGTAGGTCTGAGGTCCTGTCCAGATTGAGACTGACAGAGAGATGGCAGACCAGAGCACATGTTCATGATAAACGTAGTCCTGGGAAAGTGTCACTCAAACTTTGCGTTTCAAGCTCAATAGCTTCCCTAATTTCAGTCCACTTAGAGCTACGGTATGTGGAAAACTCTGTATATAGAGGCTACGTGCCTCTTCCTTCTGTGAATGTTGCCCTGTGACAGCTGATCCTGCAACTCCCCTGGCAACAGCTTGCCTCTCTCCTGGTCAGCTCCTTCGGCTACAGATCCATCTCTGTCAGGACCACTCTGTCCTAGTCCTCCTCGATCCCCTCGCTGTATCCTGCTTCCAGATTCTCTGGATGAAGCACACAAGGCAGATGCAGTGTTACTGACCAGCTGAGTGCTGCATTTACACACAAGTCAACAGTGGACTTGTGTGCTCGGAGACATGTCACCATCTGTCCCATCATCCTCTTTTTCTCCAGAGTTACATCGTGGGAGTATTAGCATCTGTCATGACTTCATTTACTTTTGCAAAAAGTTTTTAAAAAATCATTAGCAGTCATAAAACATAAAAACCAAAAATGAGTGAACCACATTTTTGTATTTTGATATAATTCAGTTTTCCATTATTTAAATTATTTGTGGGTAGTAAAACAGAAAGGATGTTTTCCATGACCATTTCAGAAACGGGTAGATCAGGACCACTTGCTGTACTTCCATTCTAGTTCCATCCCAGAATTCAGCTACAACCAGCTCCTTAATTATTTAAGTGATGATGAGCACTGCAAGATCCATACAGCAGTTGTGGAGGCTGAAATTTGAATAGCCCTGAGCAAGATGTCTCAGGAAAGCCGTTTTATGTACAGTGATCCAGTATTGCTGGGTAAGTGTTGTCACTGGCAGTGCTGGAGATGTGAAGTAAGGTTGGGTCTCCTTGATCTCACACCTGTGAGACCATACTGTCCAGGAACACTGCACTGTGGCGGGCAGAGTTACCTTGATCTGCTTGGGGTGTCCTCTCTGATTTCCTGTCCAGCCTGTTCTGATACAGCAGGACTCCAGCCACCAGGATGGCCACCATCACGCACAGCACTGTGCCGCACAGCCACATTCCCTCCCAGCCAGTCCGCCCTGATGTCAGGGCACTCGCGGGACGGATCAGCAGTCCAGATCCGCGGCCTGATCGATCCACTGGTGAAGGCATTAAAACTCAAGTAAGTGCAAGTTCAACAGCAACACCAGCTGTGTCATCTAGAGTTCTGTAGTCCAAAAATACACACAATGTGTAAATAAAGGCTATTATACCCAGTTTTAACCCTAAAATTCTGAATTCTAAATAAAATTAGAAGATATTCATCCATCTGTTCTCTACCCACTTCTTCCAGTTCAGGGTTGCAGGTGAGCTGGAGTCCATTGTCGGGCACACACAGATACACACACTCACCCTGGGGCCAATCGTCCCAGAAGTCAATTAACTAACCAGCATGTTTTAGGACAGTTTTATGAGCTAACTGGAGCACCCAGAGGAAACATGGGAACTTGGGGAGAACATGCAAACACCATATAGACAGCACCCCAGGAATTGATCCCAGGGCTCTAGGGCTGTGAAGCAGCTCCACCAAAATCAGGCGATATCTCTTTTTTAAATAAGTGTAACCACAGTGGCTTTCTATTAATAAATTATGTAATAATAACATGGAAGGGGGTGAATGCTAACTTCCTGCGGACTGCCAAGAGCATGTCATCAGTATGAATGAACTAGGAACTAGGAATAGGAATGTATAGGAATCTTATCCTATAGGAATCTCAACTACATTACCTTGAAAAGCCACCTAAAAAAAAATTATATAGTGCCTTTAAAAGTAGCTTCTCAAAGCGCTTTGCAGAATGACAAAACCAGAGCATAGATTATTAACTTATACTCCAGCATTACTGGTCCTCGATTATGAAGCTGGGCGGACTGGAGCCACTGAGGTACAGTACCTTTAGTCGAGGCCCAACTGCAGTGTCAGTGACTTGAACCCACAACCCTCCAGTGACAAGTCCGGAGATCTACCTACCTACCTACACTCTGCCACGTGCTCAGTGTGTGTGCTCAGTGTGTGTGCTTAATGAATAGTGCTCTGCCATGCTGTGCCCGGAGCGCACTCCCACTCCTATACAGCAGACAGTATTTACAAGACCGACCGCCTCACCCCCAGGTCTTCGTACTCACACACAGCGACGGGGCCTCACCTGCCACAGCGAGACACACAGAGCACAGGTGCTGCAATGGGCCCTCCCCGCTGTCAGTGAAGTAGCAGCCGTAGTCCTGAGCGTCTCCGGCCATGATACCGGACAGCCGCAGGGAGAAGTTGCCTTCCTGCAGCCCGGCGGGGAACAGCTGGGTCCTGTTGCTGTACAAGGGGTCCTGGTGGCCCAGCTGGTCAGCACCAGTCACAAAGCCGTGAACCAGAGCGCCCCCCGTCCTCCACTCGATGGCCAGATACCTCCCCTGGATCCCCCGCGCTCCACCGTAGACACAGAAGAGCACAGAGGATCCCCCAGCGACGCCGACGACACAGTCGTTACCTGAGCCAGGCAAGCAAGCAGGGCTCAGACTGCCAGTAGTTATATACAGGGAGTGAATGATCAGACCCCGTGCCTAGGACAGATATCAGACTCGTGTCTTGCTCATGCTGTACATTACACACACACACATATATTTTAATCCTCCCAGTGCTAATCTCTCAGGAAATACACGGATTTACAAATCTGGTTTGCAATCAGACGCTTGTTAGTATTATAATAACATACAAGTGACTGAATACAAGGTCCGGTATGAATATGAACAATGGGACACAGGAGGAAGCTTGAGGTAAGTGCATTTAAAAGTAAGAACAAGAGGCACTATGCAAAGGGTTGCGGGAGCATGGAACAAGTTGCTCAGCCATGTTGAAACTTGTACGCTGACTTTTTTCAAGAAACACTGTCATGCCGGCGTCCTTCGGCTTGTGGTTGTCCTGGGAACCTTCCACATTCTCACGAGGACTCACGGTTTCCAGGGGTTTTGCTGCCCTGGCCGGATCACCTTTTAGTGATCTGTGTTAATTAGCTTATAATTCAATTCCCATGTTTCTATATAAAGCCGTGGCCCTGCATTGACGGCACTTGGTTGATTTGTCACAGCACCTTTGTCTCACTTTCCACAATTATCTTGCTGAGCTACAGTAGACAGTCTTTACCTTGCACATAAGTTGTGGTCTCAGGACTGCCCTGAAACCTGTTTAGTCCTTTTTTTTTGCTGGCTTTCTATTAGGTTTCTCTGTACCCGAGCCTCCCTTAATCTTTCTCTCTTTTTGTCACGAAGTTTTCTATTCGGTTTCTTCGTAGCCGTAGCAACAGTTTTCAGCTCCAGCGTTGCCCGAGTGCACTGAGCCGGCCTTTGCTCTGCACAGCAGTCTCAGCAGCCTCATGCCTACCCTTCTAAGACTTCCGGCTCCTTTCCCTGGAAACCCACAATTTGGTTTCTCCCGTACACTAAGCTCCCTGTCTTCCCACCGGAGGATTCTGTTTGACAGCAAACCTGGCTTCCAGTCCCAGGCTCTGCACAGCAGCTTCAGCTCTTTGCATTGCCTGACGCAATCTCTGATTCTAGCCAGCACTTCTTTCCACACTTATCATTTTCACTATCACATTTCAAACTGCTTATGGCGGTGTCAACCCTCTAGTTTACCGACCTGCCCCCCCTGACACCCCTGAGGGTCTGCCATTCCAAGTCTGTTCGGTTCCTTTCAGGGGTCTCGCTATTCGGGTTCCTTCCATACACAAGACTCCCTTTTTCCGCAGGGCTGTTAAGTAGCCTTTCTTTCCGCCAGGTGTCGTCGTTTCTCCCCATTACTTGCTGGCCTGGGCAGATCAAGCCCCACCAGCCCATAATTCATCATCTCGTTTTCACCCTCTAGTCTCCTGCGCTTGGGTTCTGACAAAGCACCACTCAAAACATTACATCGATTTGTTTCGGATCGATTCACTCCCATCAGTCAAACTAATTAGATTAACAAAATTGCCTCCTGTTTTTTAATGTTTCTCGTGTCCTTATTATCTATAAGCAGTAATGCCAGGCTGCTTATGGTAACCTGACAGAGTTCCATGTCAATATCTGCACATGCCATTAATGTACAGTAACTGTGCTGGACATACCTGTGGACACACAGTAGCTAATGAAGTTCAGAAACAGCCCAATCCTCCAGGGCAGCTCCATTCTGCTGGCTGAAGACAGAGCTCTGTGCCTTTTGGAAGAAAGGGCTGGTGGGACATAAGCAGGGACACATCTGGACTGAAGGCTGAGATACACATTTTTCCCCTTCAAAAACACTTACTCATAAGGTCCAGGTGACAATATGCTTCTTATTTATCCCATGTAACTTAAATGAGCAGAACACTCAAAGCATATTTTGCAACATGGTTATTAAATGAAACTTGGAGAACTACAAACATGCAAAAATTCTCAAGCGGTTTATCTGCCTTACAGGGACAAGACCAGCCTCAACAAGCCTGGTGCAAGATTGCAGAACCACTTTATCTGACCTTGTTTCAAAGGCATAAGGTACTGAATGTATTCTATTATCTACTACCATTATATCATATACTGTATACTCTTCTTTATGCAGCTGTTCTACTGTATAAAGTCTTACTCATGTAGTCGAATATATAAAAATAGTCTTCATGTTACTATGTGAATAATACTACATTAAAAGCTCGTATATTTTTATCAAAGCGGTAAACACTTTAGAATTTCTAGACACTTACCATTCCTTATAATTACTATCAAATTGTAGTTTTCAAGTTGGCTGCGTTATTTCATTTGAGGTGAAAGGAAAGACACTGTACTGGCTGTGACATGCCAAATCCCTGCTGTTAAATTAAAATTACTGTAGGTTTACCGTTTCTCGTTGGTACAGTTAAAATTGCTAATTTAACAAATTATTAACATTATTGTTTGTCTCTTGTACCCAGATAGCTCTTCTCTAGATATCATGCTAAAACAAAACCTCATTCTAACACATAACATATACTAATGGCAGCTTGCTTTTGTCCTAATTACTGCACCGTCCTTCACTTTTCAAGCCTGCAATGCCCAGAGGGTCTTCCTGTAATTCACTAGATAACTTTACAGGACAGGTTATGAAGTTATTCTGAGTATGCTGGAGAAAAAGGTTTAACCTGCCACTCACCCACCATCTCAAGTTTGTTTTAGAAGCTCCAGACTCCGCATGCAAAGTACAAATGCAAAAAGAGTTTGACAGGTCTGGCAGCTTTTCCGCAATCATTACCTCTTCCCCAACTGGTTCTGTAGCGCCTGTTCGTCTCGCTGGCAGCTGCTCAAAGCCACAGCAGACTGTAAACAAGGGGAACACAGGAACACGCTCCTCGCATTCTTCATATTTGCTCACATAACAAGCGTTTAGGACCTGAGACGATGAGACATGGTCCGTGTGCAGCTCTTCTGATCAAGCGAGCAGGAGGTCTAGAAACTGGAAATCTTCACAGCTGAAATGGTGGAATGCAATAATGGGACACTTTTTTATTTTTTATGTGGTTGTTTTGACCTACTGCCTTTCAGTGCTGGGGCCCTGGGGTGCTTCTGCACAGAGTTTCTATGTTCTAATTGTGTTCATACAGGTCTCATCTGGGTTTTTTTTTTCATTTCTTCCCACAATCCAAAAACATACTGGTAGATTAATTTATGTCTGTGAAAATTGGCCCTGGTGTGATCTTGTTTGGGTCTGTGAGTGTCCTGCAATAGACTGGAGTCCTGTCCAGAGTGTATCCTGCCTTGTACCCATTGTTTCCTGGGATAGGCTCCACACCACCATGACCCTGAATTGGTTAGCGTTAATTAAAGTTATAGTGTGACCTTTGGGGAGACATACAAAACCCGAACCCACAGAGCTGCTGCCACAAATAGAGCAGCAAGGCACACACTACACTGGAACATCCAGCACAGACTGGCACTGAACTGGAATATACTGTACAGCACAGACTGGAACTGAACTGGAATATACTGTACAGCACAGACTGGAACTGCACTGGA